TTTGCTGACCGAACTGTCATTGCCTAGTCATGTCGGGCACCAGGAAGAGAACCCGTCGCGCAGCACCTAGCCCTGTTCCCGACCCACCTGTTTCTTCGGCTGCGGACCCCGAGCTGCCGAGTAACGCTGCCTCACCACTCGACGGCGGACAATTCAAGCAATTTATATCTGACGAAGTCCAGAAAGCCGTCACCGCCGCCCTGGCAGAAACGGTCTCCCCACTGCTTGCCACCATCGGATCCTCGCAGCCTTCCCCCGCCATGGCCGTACCCACCGGAAATGCTGCGCCAACTGGTCCGGGTGCTGGCTCTCTATCTCATCCACTGAACGTGCCGTCTCACGTGAGAGAGAGGATTTTGCGAGGTGAGTGTGTTGATTTGAATACACTGTTACCGGAAGCTCTTGGGGCACCAAAGCGTGACACGATTCAGTTGAATTTCAGTGGGTCCAGGACTGTTGAGCTGCTGGATCCCAGCTCTGGCGGGCATGTCGAGAAAGTTCGTAGGCATGTTCACGACCTGGTTACATGGCTAGAAGCCTGGTCCAGATATATGTTCGTACTATGCTCGCACGCACCCAGCCGTTTCTCCGAACTGATGGCATATCAGGCCACCATTGTATCGGCCAACTCCTCATACTATCCTGAGGCCTGGCTCGAATATGACCGGGAGTTCCGTCTGGCAATCTCTCTTGACCCCAGTAAGCGTTGGGACGCCATTGACGGCAATCTCTGGCAACTGAAAATGACAGGCCGCTCACGCCCGCAGTGTGGCACATGCCGGATCACTCACCCTCCATCGGGTAGCCAGTGCCCTTTTCGTGCCTCCCGAGTACCAAACCAGCAGTTTGCACCACGGTCTGCCTACACCAAGTCTGGCAAAGAGATCTGCCGGAATTTCCAGCAAGGTCGATGCTCCAACACCGACTGTAAATTTGCCCACGTCTGCTCCCAATGTGAGGGCGCACATGCCCGCCCCTCCTGCCCGCGTCGCTTCTCCACTGGCAACCAGCGGCAGAACAAAGCTTAATGAACTGCATCTCGATAGTAGCATTCTCCGGACACACCCTACATTCTTTCACACTTGCCGCACACCTATTCACGTTAATCGCCTCCGTTCCTTACTGCGTGCACACCCCGATCAAGCTTTTGTTAAATATGTACTTCATGGCCTTACGTATGGTTTTGACATCGGCTTCAATGGCCCACGCCAAAGCAGCATGTTCTCCCCTAACTTACCTTCTGCGAGGATGCATCCCGATTTTATTACCAAATACCTGCAAGAATGTTGCTCCCGCTTTGAACTGCTAGGTCCTTTTTCCTCCTCGCTTTTTCCTTTTTTTCATTGCTCCGGTGTTGGCTGCGTTCCGAAAAAGAACGGCCGCTTCCGTTTAATCCACCATCTCTCTAGCCCAGAGGGTCAAAGTGTTAACGATGGAATTTCACGTGAAGATTTCAGCTTGCATTACATCACTATTGATCACGCGATCGATGCCATTATGCAGTACGGTCGTTCTGCTTATCTTTTCAAACTTGACATTCGGAGTGCTTTCCGCATTGTACCTGTGCGGCAGGAAGACTGGCCTCTGCTAGGTATTCACTGGCAAAACCAATATTATTTCGACACTGTGCTCCCCTTTGGCTTACGCTCCAGCCCTGCCATTTTTAACTCTATTGCCGACTGCCTTGAATGGATTGCTCGCTATGAGTTTTCTATTACCGACCTGCTCCATTATCTAGATGATTTCCTTTGCATTTCTCCATCGGAGCTGGTGGCGAACCAACGTGCTTCAATCCTGCTTCGCTGTTTTAACTATGTCCAAGTCCCCTTGGCACCTGACAAAGTGGAAGGTCCAGCTCAAGTGCTGTCGTTCCTGGGCATCGAGCTGGACTGTGGCAGACTGGAGGCCCGGCTACCAGACACCAAGTTGCAAGATCTCCGCACCTTGCTCGACCAGTATGTCAACCGTGGCGACATGACCCAACGCGAACTCGACTCACTATTGGGAAAACTCTCCTTCGCAGCTCGGGTAATTATACCTGGTCGGACATTCATGCGCCGACTCTGGGATATTTGTCACCGCTACAGTCAGCCACACTATAAGATCAAACTCTCAGTCGAGGCCCTGGAAGACCTGAAGTGGTGGCAACGCCTCCTCTCGCAATGGAACGGAAAGTCCTTCTTTCATATGCCAAATTGGACCCCGTCTCCCGACATCCAATTGTTTACTGATGCCAGCGGTTCGATCGGCTGGGGCGCATGTTATGGCCATCGCTGGATCCAGGGACAGTGGTTGCCGGAACAAGCCGACTACTCCATCGAGTGGAAGGAGATGTTCGCCATTGCCGCAGCTTGCTCCTCCTGGGGCCTTGAATGGCGCAAGCTCCGCATACTCGTGTACTGCGATAACGAAGCCGTAGTGGCATGCCTGTCCAATGGTTGTAGCCGCTCCCCCCCAGTCATGGACCTGATACGACGGCTGTTCTTCATGTGCGCTAACTTTGGCTTCATTCTGTCAGCAAAGCATATTCCAGGATGCACTAACAAAGCCGCTGATGCTCTGTCTCGTTTTAACATGCAGGCGTTTCGCGAGGCGGTTCCGGGAGCTCGGGCGACAGCCGACCTGTTCCAGTCATTCTAACTGCCGCGGACGAATTAGCAGCACGATATGCTGCTCACGCTCTATCCGACAACACCAGACGAACGTATTCCGCCGGCGAATCTAAGTATCTCAAGTTCTGCCAACTTCAAAGATGGTCCCCGTTTCCCGCTTCAGACCTAATGCTGAGTAGTTTTGCTGCCTCCCTAACCCAGTCGGTCAGACCAGTGACTATTAAGGTTTACCTCAGTGCTATCAAGAACCTGCACCTGGAGCTCGGTTATGTCGACCCGACCGAGGGCGCGCACTTCCTCAAGCGAGTGGTACGCGGTATTTGCCGTTGCCATGGAGTAGCCGCTGTCCGCCCCAGGCTGCCAATCACGTTTCCTATTCTCTGCAGTCTGGTTGACACCTGCCTAGCTGCTCCAACCATGTGCCCTCACGACAAGCGCTGCCTGCATGCTGCTATGCTTGCCGTGTTCTTTGGTTTCTTCAGATGCGGTGAACTGCTAGAAGCACCTACTACGCGCGGCTGTTTGACATTCGAGTCAGGGATGCTCCATGTGCACCTACCACGCTCGAAGACAGACCCGTCCGGGGAAGGTACGACGGTGCTGATCGGGCCAGCGGTGCCGCCATACTGCGCTGTGAGAGCCATGCTCACCTACCTCACTGCAACCGCCTCTGCTCGTCCAGGCAGTGCTGTGTTCATCCTGGCCAACGGGCAACGCCTCAACCGCAGCACTTTTACAGCCCACGTACGCACGCTGCTTAGCACCAGCGGCGTGGCAAACTGGCAGGACTATGCAGGCCACAGCTTCCGTATCGGGGCCGCTACCACTGCTGCCCTTGCTGGCGTCCCCGACCACCAGATCCGCTCCGCGGGACGGTGGCGCAGTGATGCATGCCTACGCTACATCCGGACACCACCGTCATCGGCCCGAACGCTGGCCAGCAAACTATCCTCAGTAAGATTATCTCCCTGACACCGATGTTTCTCAATTCACACAATTCCCTCATAATGAACTATGCTATGCTGCACTGCAATACTGTTGTGTATGGGTATGTACTGGCGGTATGGCGAGTCACTCATAACTGGTCTGCCTTTCTATTGCGGCATTATGGCCTTATGGTCCTGCCTTTCCATTGCGGCAATCACAGCCTCCGGGCTTCTGCCTTCCTGCGGCAATCACAGCCTCCGGGCTTCTGCCTTTCTGCGGCACTCGCAGCCTCACGGGCTCGTGCCTACCTTGCGGCAAAGACCAACCAGTTCCTCGTCACCAGTACTTACCCAACACAACCTAGCCTTATTCGTGTGGTGTATGCCTGTCTGCATGCCGTCTGTGTGCGCGGAATGCTAATGATGTATGCCTGCCTGCATGCCGTCTGCGTGCGCGGAATGCTAATGATGTATTCATGTAATGAATTCAGTTTAGCGTAGGCGCACATCTCGCAACTACGTATCTGCTGCGCTACAGCGCCCTCTACGGTTCTGGCCGCGGCACTTGTTTAGCGCGCCTTGCCGCGACCGGCAAGACCGCCTGCTGTGCATCACATTAATTTATGCGTACGCCATCACAATAATTAATTCAGTTTTGATCGGGTCCGAGTCCGCAACGTGGCACATCTCCTTGCCATTCTCAGTTTTGAGTCTTCTCTGCTTTGGCTCATGCCCGACTTGCATCCTGCTGCCTTTGTCTTTTGCTGACCCACCATCCCACCACTAACCATTAATACTACATTGCATCATTCCTACTTCAAGTACAATAAACCTGGTGGCGAGTCACTCATAACTGGTCTGCCTTTCTATTGCGGCATTATGGCCTTATGGTCCTGCCTTTCCATTGCGGCAATCACAGCCTCCGGGCTTCTGCCTTCCTGCGGCAATCACAGCCTCCGGGCTTCTGCCTTTCTGCGGCACTCGCAGCCTCACGGGCTCGTGCCTACCTTGCGGCAAAGACCAACCAGTTCCTCGTCACCAGTACTTACCCAACACAACCTAGCCTTATTCGTGTGGTGTATGCCTGTCTGCATGCCGTCTGTGTGCGCGGAATGCTAATGATGTATGCCTGCCTGCATGCCGTCTGCGTGCGCGGAATGCTAATCACCATTATATTCCCTGCCTGAAAGCTGGGCCTAAGTGGGCTGTAGCTCTGCAAGTATCAGGGGCGTCGGACACGCTATGGTCACTACGGTATTGACCGTACCACTCCCCCCCCCCCCCCCCCCCAGCCACCCCATGAATCAATACAGTAAGACTGCATTGATTTGGGCTCTAGATTTCAGAGCCGAGCCGCTCCCCCCCCCCCCCCCCCCCAGCACTTCAGATGGTTGACCGTAGTCACCGTACCACTCTGAAACACTTTGCGCCGGCCCTGAGCTGCATGATGACTTTCACTTACCCGAATGCTGGATTGCAGTCAACCAGAGTGATACCGTCGCTGAACGACACAACTGCACCGGTGTCCCTGGCTTTCTGAGAACTCTGAATGAATATCTTCAGCGTGGCGTCAATGACCGAGGGTACATTCTGCACGTGGAGTCACACAGCAAAGAATTGAGTTAGGTCCTGAGAAAAAGGTGATTGATTCGGCCCTACCTGAAGAATTGCAAAATTCAATAACCTTTCTAGAACTAACTCATTGAACTGTCGAGAATGTATAGCCCAGATGCGCTTGATGCTACCCTCAATCCAGAATTTACGGCCCAGATGCACTTGGCGCTCACCTCAATCAAGATGGTGCTGCCAAAGGCCATAGCACGTCCCACCAGCGATCTGGCTTGAGGTTGTT